AATTGACTTACAACACTATGTTAATTCCTGTTACACAACATGGTGGTTCAATATTTCTATACATTTCGAAATGACCATCATGATAAATCTAGCTATGATATGTCACCATACAAAGTTATTACATAGTTAGTGACTATATTCCCCACACTGTGCATATCCCTGATTCATTTATTTTGCAACTGTAAGTTTCTTTCACCTAATCTCCTTCATCTATTTCTTTCACACCCCACCCCCAATATCCCCCTCCCTCTGGTAACCACCTGTTTGTTCTCTGTATCTGTAACTTTGTTTCTATTTTGTTATGTTTGCTTATTAGTTTTCTAGGTTCCACACATATAACTGAAATCATACAATATTTGTCTTTCTTTGTCTGACTTATTTCAGGTAACATAATGCCCTCACAGTTCATCCTTGTGGTTGCAGATGGCAAGATTCCATTCTTTTCTACAGTTGAGTAATATTTCATTATATATTATGTATATATCACATCCTCTTTATCCATTCATCTATTAATGGGCACTTAGATTGCTTCCATATGTTGGCTATTGTAAATAGTGTTGCAGTGAACATACAGACACATACATCTTTTCTAATTAGTGTTTGTGTTTATTTTTTAAATAAATACCAAGTAGCAGAATTGCTAGATCATTTGGTAGTCCTACTTGAAGCCAGAGTATTTAAATAGTGAGCTTGTTTCACTTAAAGATTAATATATTTAGGAATTCTTTTGTCTACAATGCTAATCGCTCAGCATCAAATTTCATGGCATAATGGTGATTTAGGACATGTTGAGAATTTTTATTATTGTTTTCTTACTTCAAGAATTTAAGTCTTGTGGAAATATCTTAGTCAGACTTGTCTGGTTTGAGGGAATTTGTATAGTCAATCAAAATTAAGCCAAATATAGTGTATTATTTAAAATGAGATTTAGTGCCAACATTACAGCTATAGCAACCTGGAACCCCCATTCTGAGCCATCTGCTATTTAAAAATCACACTCCTAGGAATACTGGCATTTGATTACCTGGGGCCAAATATGGCTATGCTACTTATTGTCTTTATAATATTGGGAAACTGAGAGCTTCAGTTTTCTCAACTATGAAACGGAGATAACAGTACCTACTTTGTGGAACTGTTGAAAGGTTCAACAAGTTAACATGGGTAAAGGTCTGAAAGACGACCTGGTAGTGCTGTCCAGATTCTACACAATCTACAGATTCTACAGCATTAGCCACCGGGCAGGGGCAAATCAAAACCACAATGAAATACCCCTTCTTACACACTAGGAGAGCTATGATAAAAGACCCTAACGAGCAATTCCAAGAAAGGGAAAAAGTTGGAACATTTATACACTGTCAGTGGAAATATAATATGTCTAGTCACTTTGGAAAACAGTCTGCAATTCTTCAAAAGGTTAAACATAGGGTTACTATATGACCAAGCAATTCTAATCCTCAGTATAATATTATATATAATATAATAATATATAATAATATTATTATATACATCATATTTATATATAATTATAATATATAATAATATATTACAATTATATATATTATATATATAATAATAATATAATCTTTAGTATAACCCAGAGAAATGAAAATACATGTTCACAGGAAAACTTGTACATGAATGTTAATAGTAGTCTTATTCATAGTAGCCTCCAAGTAGAAACAGCCCAAATGTCCAAAGACTTCTAAACAGATAATCAAGATCATAGCATATTCATAAATCATAGCATAGTAAATCAAATTATATTCATAGAATGAAATACTACTTGGCAATAAAAAGAAGTGAGGTACTGATACATACTACCATGTGATTGAAACTTGAAACCTTCTTTCACATACCATGTGAAAGAAGCCAGAGAAAAAGACCACGTATGGTATGATTCTATTTATATGAAATATCCAGGATAGGCAAATGCAGAGAAGGAAAGTAGATTCAGTGGACTGTTGAAAAGGTTTTAAGAGAAAAAGAGGAGTGACTGCTAATGAATATGGAATTTCTTTTCAGTTCTGTTCAATTCAGTTCAGTTGTTCAGTCGTGTCCGACTCTTTGCGACCCCATGAATTGCAGCACGCCAGCCCTCCCTGTTCATCACCAACTCCTGGAGTTTACTCAAACTCATGTTCATCAAGTCGGTGATGCCATCCAGCCATCTCATCCTCTCTCATCCCCTTCTCCTCCTGCCCCCAATCCCTCCCAGCATCAGGGTCTTTTCCAATGAGTCAACTCTTCACATGAGGTGGCCAAAGTATTGTAGTTTCAGCTTCAGCATCAGTCCCTCCAATGAACACCCAGGACTGATCTCCTTTAGGATGGACTGGTTGGATCTTCTTGCAGCCCAAGGGACTCTCAAGAGTCTTCTCCAACACCACAGTTCAAAAGCATCAATTTTTCGGCGCTCACCTTTCTTCACAGTCCAGGTCTCACATCCATACATGAGTTTCTTTTAGGGATGATGTAAATGTTCTAAAATTAACTGTGGTGATAGTTACACAACTGTGCATAAGCTTAGGGCCACTGAATTGTACACTTTCAGACATGTGAACCATATGATATGTGAATTATAGCCAATAAAGCACGTTAAGTAGTTTCAAATAAACTGCAAAAAGGAAAGCCTAAAAACAACAGTATTAGTAATTATAAATTAGTTCACTTCTCTGGCCTTATCCTCTTCCATTCCCCAATTTATCCCATACTCTATCCATAATGGCCTCCTTGCAATTCCCATATTATGTCTTCCTATTTGATGTCCTGTGAACATAGTATATCTGCTTCCTGGAGTTCTCTTCAGTCCTCCTCTGCCTGCCTAACTCCTTCATATTTAAAACTAGTCAATCAGAGTAAGCTAATGGCCCAAACAATTGATTCCCAGTGACCTAATATGATAAAATTTACTTCTCTCTCATGTAAACACTCCCCAGGTGATTCAGAGATCCAGGCTCCTTACCTCCATCAGCTCTGCCTGCCCAGGAGTCTTCCACTGTATTCTCTATAACAGGCTGAGAAAACCAGTGGGGCATCAGCACAGATAGGACTCGAGGAATTTTCCAAATGATTAATTCACTTTTGAACATGGTATCTTTAAGAGATGTCAGGATACCCAGCGGTCTTGGGTTCAGCACAGAGACTATTTATTAGCTTATGGGTGTTCATTGGAAGGACTGATGCTGAAGCTGAAACTCCAGTTCTTTGGCCACCTCATGCTGAGTTGACTCATTGGAAAAGACCCTGATGCTGGGAGGGATTGGGGGCAGGAGGAGAAAGGGACGACAGAGGATGAGATGACTGGATGGCATCACTGACTCGATGGACATGAGTTTGAGTAAACTCCAGGAGTTGGTGATGAACAGGGAGGCCTGGTGTGCTGCGATTCATGGGGTCAAAAGAGTCAGACACGACTGTGTGACTGAACTGAACTGAATAAGCTATTCCACATGTATTGCACTACTCCCCTTCTCTCTACCAGGAAGAGGTGATTTGCTTTAAAAACTCAAAGATAATTTTTAAGAATAAGAATGCTGAAGGGAGAAAAAGTAGTATTCAACATCTCTATTGAGGAATTTATGATGTAGCACAGAATGGAAGCTGAAGCTAAAGGAAACTTTCCTTAAAGGGCTATTTATTAAAAAATGGAACGCACTCCTTAGGACAAATCAAAGTGTAAACACACAACATGCAAACTTCTTGTACAGGTAAATCAGTAAAAAAATGGAACGCACTCCTTAGGACAAATCAAAGTGTAAACACACAACATCCAAAATTCTTGTACAGGTAAATTAGTGTTCTCAGCTATCTCCTGCTCCCAAATTTCTCTGCCACATTGAGGACGGTTCAAGAGGAGTAGAGAACATGTTGGTTGCAGCGAGAAACATTTGAAAGCACTCTTTTATGGAAGTCATAAGAGAGAAAAACCTCTCTCATGTTATTTAGAATCATCCTCGATATATTTATTCTAACAATTAATAATAATAATACACATAGCCAAATACCGTTCTCTGTGTAAAATGTTTACAAATCTGACATGCTGAGAATTCAGCTTCTGGTACAATCCATTCACTTTTCCAGTTAGACTGGTACTGAGTTCGCAGTACAAAATCGAATGTGCTCATGCAGCTCATCCCACAGTACCTGTTAATTCGGGCTGGCGCTTGGAATTTCAGATCTGGTCCCACCGCGGGGCGGGGCGGGGCCGTGGGCGGGGCCGTGGGCGGGGCCTGCCGCCGGGGAGGCGGGGTGCTGGGAAAGCCGGGGGGCGGGTCTGCTCGTGAAGCCTCGTAGTATCTGAGCGTGCGAGGGTCCACGGCGCTAGCAGCGTGCTACGCGAAGCTTCGCTTCACGTGGCATCGCAGTGGACCCCGTAGCTCCGGGCGCTTCGTGCTCGTGGACTGCCAGGAGATGTGAGCGCCGCTGAGATGCCCGTGGCGAGCGACCTGGAGCCGGCAGAGACGACGCTGCTCCTGAGGATGGGCTGCGCCGAGAGGCTGACGCAGCCCCGGGGTGTCCGGGGGAAAGGAAGGGGACCGCAGCCCAGGACGGGGAGCATCCCGGCGCTGGAGCGGGCGGAAAAGTCAAGAGCCACAGCCGCTGTCCAGCGCTTGCGAAGCCGCCGCCCCTGGGGTGCGCCCAGCGGTTTGTGAGTACTCTGCGTCGCCTGTCCGCAGACGGAAGCTGGGGAACACCCTTGGAGAGCTCTACGGGATCCCCACAATCGCCGTCGCCTGGTCTCTCCACCTGCCTCAGGGACAGAGTGACTGCCGCCCCCCCCCCCCACCTGCGGACCCGGGGCGAGGGCGGAGGCCCATCGGGGCCGCCCCCTTCCCACCCAGGGGGTGGAGAGTTCCCCCCCTTCCGCCGTCCGCTCCGGCCAAATTCAACTCCCGTTCTCTCCTCCCGCGGCTCCGAGCCTCCTGACGCCCCCTTGTCCTCCCGCTATCCGCCCCCCCTCCCCAGAGACAGGGGAGGAGAAAAGGGGAGCCCAGGGCGTCATGACTGAGCTGAAGGCGAAGGGTTCCCGCGCTCCCCACGTGGCGGGCACAGCGCCCTCGCCCACCCAGGTCGGAGCCCCTCTACGGGGACGCCCAGACGCGGGCCCCTTCCAGGCGGGCGAGGCCTCGGACCCGACGCCCACAGCCTCGGGCCTCCCCCTCTCCCTGGACGGGCTGATCTTCCCTCGGCCCTGCCAGGCTCAGGACCTGGACGGGAAGACGCCGAACCCAGAGTCGCTGGCAGACGTGGAGGAGGCGTATTCCAGAGGGGAAACCGCAGAGGGCGCTGCTGCGAGACCCCTGGAAAAGGACGGCGGGTTGCTGGACAGCGTCCTGGACACCCTGCTGGCGCCCCCCGGCCCTGAACAGAGCCCCGCCAGCCCCGCCGTCTGCGAGGCCCCCAGCCCTTGGTGCCTGTTTGGCCCTGAGCTTGCCCAAGACATCCGGGCTGCGCCCGCCGCCCAGGGAGTCCTGCCCCAACTCATGAGCCGCCCGGAGAGCAAGGCTGGCGATACCCCTGGGGGGGCCGCCGGCCAGAAGGTGCTGCCCCGGGGCCTGGCGCCGTGCCGGCAGCTGCTGGCCCCGACGGCCGCGAGCCACCCCTGGCCCGCGCCAGCGCCGAGGCCGTCTCCGCAGCCCGCGGTGGTGGAGCTGGACGTGGACGACTCGGAGCCCGAGGGCTCCTCGGGGCCCCTGAAGGGCAAAGCCCGGTCCGCGGGAGGAGCCGCGATCAGCGCTCCTGGGACGGCCGCGGGAGGCGTCGCCCCGTTGCCCAAAGAAGATGCCCGCTTCTCGGCGCCCAGGGCCGCCCCGGCGGAGCATGACGCGCCCGCCGCGCCCGGGCGCGCCCCGGTGGCCACCGCGGTGATGGACTTCATCCACGTGCCCATCCTGCCGCTCAACTCGGCCTTCCTGGCCGCCCGCACCCGGCAGCTGCTGGAGGGCGACAGCTATGACGGCGGGGTCGCCGGCGCTTTCGCCGCGCCGCGGGGCTCGCCCTCCGCCTCGGCCGCCCCGGGCGCGCCCGGAGACTTCCCCGACTGCGCGTACCCGCCCGACGCCGAGCCCAAGGACGACGCGTTCTCGCTCTACGGGGACCCGCAGCCACCCGCCCTGAAAATCAAGGAGGAGGAGGAGGGGGGTGCCGAGGCCGCCGCACGCTCCCCGCGGCCCTACCTGCTGGCGGGGGCCAGCCCCGCCGTCTTCGCGGACTTCCCGCTGGCGCCGCCGTCCAGGCCCGGGGAGGTGGCGGCGCCCGCGGCCGCCGCGGGGGCCCCCGGCTCGTCCGCGGCCGCGTCGGGGTCCGCCCTGGAGTGCGTCCTGTACAAGGCGGAGGGCGCGCCGCCCCAGCCCGGCCCGTTCGCGCCGCCGCCCTGCAAGGCTCCGGCCGCGGGCGCCTGCCTGCTGCCGCGGGACCTGCCGTCCACCTCGGCCGCCGCCGCCGCAGGGGCCACCCCTGCGCTCTACCCGCCGCTCGGCCTCAACGGGCTCCCCCAGCTCGGCTACCAGGCCGCCGTGCTCAAGGAGGGCCTGCCGCAGGTCTACCAGCCCTATCTCAACTACCTGAGGTGAGGGCCCGGCGCGGCGCGTGAGGACCGGTCCGGCCGCCCCCGGCCCCCGGCCCCCGGCGCCCGGCAGCCCCGAGTGGCCGCCAGGGGTGGGTGGCCGAGGCGGGGCGCAGCGCAGCTTGGCTTGGCTCCTTTTTCCTCGCCTCTTCTCCTCATTTATTTTGGGGGGAGGGGGGAGGGCCCCGCGGGTGCCCAGATTATGCTGTTTCTGGAGCGGGCTTCCCCGACAATATGTCTCTAAACTTTCCAGATCTGCCCAGTCCCAAGGCGAACCAGCCGCGAGTTCTAAAAGTGCAGCGTCACTCTCGGTCCGCCGTAACCCCGCGGAGCCGAAAGGGTGCGGCGAGTCCGGGGTTTTATAAAATGCTTTTCTTCCTAGAAGGACAGTTACCGAGAACGTGCGTTCCGGAGGGGAGACGGTAACGCATCGTTCTCCCGGGCGGGGTGGCGCTAGGTGCCCGGCCAGAACCCAAAGCAGAACCATCCTAAGGGTCTGGACACTTAGCGCTTCATTTTCACCCGAATCTCTAGATTAAAATTAATTTATGTGTAATATGTTCACAGTATGGTTTTAAACATCAATCACTGCGGTGCACTGTAGGCTAGTATTGTTTCAAGTTCGCTACAACTTTTGGCATACAAGTTTTGAAAAACACTTTAATTTACATACGAGAATTATGGAATTTTAAAGAAAAAAGAAAGTGCTTTGAATTTGGAATCTTGTGGTGTGAATAGTCAAAACAGTGTCAATATATTGAACAATGCTTTAAAAAGACAAACACGGGTACTTGTTTAATTACAGAGATGACTTTTAAAAATGATTGTACTCTTAAAGCAAAATCCTGTTTATTGTTTCCCACCGTGCAACAAGGTTATAACATTTGTCAAAAGACTAAATTGATTCTCTGTAATGAGTTTTGCAGGAAGTTTTTTTTTTCCTGAACATAAAATTAAATATTAATTATTTATTACTTTTGTTGGTACTCCTGATGAGAGGCTAATAACTTGCAACTGTGATGAATCCAGTAACAGGTAGTATATCAAGTTCAGTTTGCTCTGTTTTTCAGATCTGTATTGATATATGGCTGTAATTTTTAAAAACCTTTTCACTCTATTTTGGGTTAAGGAAACTTTAGTGTTAGACAGTGGTGCACCTAAAAATAAATTGAGTACTTTGTTTTGCATTTCAAGGCCGGATTCAGAAGCCAGCCAGAGCCCACAGTACAGCTTTGAGTCATTACCTCAGAAGATTTGTTTAATCTGTGGGGATGAAGCATCAGGCTGTCACTATGGTGTCCTCACCTGTGGAAGCTGTAAGGTCTTCTTTAAAAGGGCAATGGAAGGTAGGCTCCTTTCTTGTTGGTTTAATTGTAAATGGACACCATCTAATATTTTACAAATCTTGATTAAGCCCTTGCTTCTTCTAAGAAATGATCGTATTTCCATATAACTAAAAGTATATGATAATATTTTAACAATATATTTTTATTTATAATAATCTGTATTGAATGTGGTTGGATATTATAATTGCATAATATTTGACTATCACTTTTAATATTAGACAAAAGCATATGAATCTTGGAACATGCTAACATTGTTCAATAACTTTAGAGACACAACTTTGTTCTGACTGAATTTTTATATTTCTATTGCATATATTATGTGTAAGATACACTAAATTAAAATTTTCTTCCAAAAGTAAAATGGTAGAAGTCATCAAAATTATATATGTACATATATATGATGCAGTTACAAGTTTTCTTCATAATTATGTCATTTCCCTGCATGATGTTTATGTAATAATTATATAATGGTAATTGTAGAAAAAATGTTTAAAGTTTCCTTTTTGTTTAGTGCAAACAATTTAAAGCAAGAGAAGAATTTGAACTCCACAGTAGTTTAATTTCCGCAGAAATATTTTGCTTTAAGTAAGGCTTTCATATTTTTAAAATCATCTGAATTACATATCTACCTAATGATTTAGATTGATTTGCATAATGTATTTCATATTTGAACTTTTATAAAATATATGTTTTAATTTCATCCTTTTTATCTACACTAAACTGTAAGCAGCCAAGCACATTTATATTTGAAGATAGAAATGCACTTAGACATCATTTCACATTTGAATTCTAGCAATAAGTGTATTTTATAACAAGCGGATATGAGGTTAGGGTTGTCTCTGGAGTTCTGAGATCACACCTAGACAAGGGATCAAAGATCTGAATGTCTGCTTTTTTGCTTCCTGTTTGTGCATTTTCTGATTTCAGGAGTCCTCTACATATAAGTAGGAAAGGAGGGAGCGGGGAATTTTTACCTTAAGGGAGCATCCAAAGGAGTTGACATGCATATTTAATACACATTTACCCTAAAAGAATATTAACCCAAAAGATGTTTAACAAAAAAATTCACTATCCCTATAGATTGTTAACATATAATTCTTCATAACTATTATGCCCTTTTAGTGAAAATGATTCTCATCTATTAGTAGTATATATACCCCTCCTACTGAAATTAATGCTTCAAAAAAAGTAATTGCTCTTGTGCGTTCCTAGAACATGATTGTTTCCCACGAAGGATGGATGTATTTCACTCATATTGAGCATATGTATTAAACTTCAGGGGGCTTTAACTGCGTTTTAAATTAGTTGAGGTGCTGTGACAAGAGGCCATGTGAGAAAATGGGATGACTGAGGGTAGTTTTAACTCTCCACTGACATCATTTAGTCATAGTTACAGTTTGAAGCCCTTTGTGTGGAAGAGTTGATTCTCCAGTGGGTAACTGAAGTTACTGTTCCCATCTGACTCTGATCCTGGTTTCCTGAACATTCCCCTCTGCATTAATGTGATTTTCTTTATACTTATAGTTTTATTAGTCTAATTCTTAAGTGAATGACCCTGTTGGAGTCCCCCAAAAGCCAAGTTATTCCAGCCCAACTCTCTCTTTCTACAGATACACAAGTCCTAAAGACATACATCTAAGTTTCTAAAGAGCATACAGTTAGTTGGTAGCTGATTGTTAGTCCACATAGGTTAGATTTTCTTTCATTGCAGTGCCTATAAATCAGAGATGGTATGCAAAAGTAGGCATATGACAAATGCTACTTAATTTTTTTTTCATTTATTTTTATTAGTTGGAGGCTAATTACTTTACAATATTGTAGTGGGTTTTGTCATACATTGACATGAATCAGCCATGGATTTACATGTATTCCCCATCCCGATCCCCCCTCCCACCTCCCTCTCTACCCAATCCCTCTGGGTCTTCCTGGTGCACCAGCCCAGAGCACTTGTCTCATGCATCCAACCTGGGCTGGCGATCTGTTTCACCCTTGATAATATACATGTTTTGATGCCGTTCTCTCTAAACATCCCCCTCGCCTTCTCCCACAGAGTCCAAAATTCTGTTCTGTACATCTGTGTCTCTTTTTCTGTTTTGCATATAGGGTTATCATTACCATCTTTCTAAATTCCATATATATGTGTTAGTATGCTGTAATGTTCTTTATCTTTCTGGCTTACTTCACTCTGTATAATGGGCTCCAGTTTCATCCATCTCATTAGAACATTAGAACTGATTCAAATGAATTCTTTTTAATTCTTGAAAGTTACTTCAAAAGTGCATATATGACCAAGAATACTCTAATTAAAATATAAATGTTTTCACATCATTATTATCAGAATAGTATCCTAAACATAAAAGATGTCTTCCCAAATTTGCAATGACAAGGCATTTGTTGGACCACTAATGTTGGCATGGTTCTGTTTTAATTTTGAGTAATAGAAATGAAGTACCTTTATTCAACATTGTTTATGAAGAGGAGCTCAAGATAAAAGTTGATAAATCATTTGGCTGTTAAATGACAAGTAAAATTATTGATCTCTGGACATTGAGAAGAACTTGTTAAGTGTATATATTCAAGGAATACTGATGAGATTAAGATTAGACTAAGACTTGAAGATCCATATTAGGAAATTATTAGAGTTAAAGGTTAAGAAGGTTGATTGCCAGTGTTTGCTTGAATCAGTCATTTAAGGCAAGAAAATAGAAGGTTCTTTGAGTTTTCGAGAGTGAGAAAGTTGAGTAGAAGAATATTTGTAATTGAAGAGAAATACCCAGTTTGAAATCTTAGAGTAAAATAGGGCTGTGTGATGAACAACTTCAGGGTAGAACTATGTGTGGATGCCAACATGTCCAGAAATTGAATGTCATAGTCAACAATATGAATATTAAATACCAAGGATAATGATGATAATGGCTTTCAGGCGTGCTTTCTATGTGCCTGTGACTATTTAAATGTTGTATTGGTCTTGACCGTTTTAAGCCATATAGTGTAGACATTATCATCACTTTCAGTTTATAAATGAGGAAACTGCCTTTGTAAATTGCCTTAAATCACAAGAAGTAGTGGAATAGGATTCAAATCCAAGGTGTTTGACCCCAGAATCTATGCCTTCCACCACTACACTTTCTTTCTCATAATAGGAAATTCAGTTTCAGCTTCACAAAGAAACAATAGAGGATTGGAAGAAAAAAATGTAAGCCAAGTGAGAAAACTTTCTAAGAAGGTAGAAGGGAATCCTAATGGAGAATGCAATATCAAGGGTGATTGAAAGTGTGTAATGTAAATGGATGGGTGACACTAGCACCACATTTAGGGCTGCAGTGAAAAGACACATTCAGGAACCAAGAGCCAGTTTCCCCACCCCTCCTCCAAGTTAGAAGTGGGAGACAATAATGTGTATGGAGAAGTTACTCAGGAAACTGAATTTCCCTTGGTATGAGACAGAAAAGAGAAGAGGCAGAGAAAAAAGACATCCCTCAGGAAGTAGGAGTATGCGGAGGAGAGAAATGACCTCTTAAGCTGGAAAAAAATATATATATATATTAGCCAAAAAATAGTTGCTTGAATAGCCCATTGCATTCCTTTACTAATACTTGGAGTGAACCAGGGAGTGGTCAGAAATTGCCTTAATGCCTTTCAAGGAGAAGTCATAATGACCTGCCAGTCCTATAAATGCAGGCCTTGTGTTAAGAAGGAAAAGATAATTTCTCACTGGCTTACCTCAGTATGCACTGTGACTTGCTCAATGCTAGGAATACTAAACACTCAGTGTGTGATTGTCTGCTAAGAGAACCAGTCATAACAAATGATGCTAAGCTCTTATTCTTTGCATATTTTACACTGTGACAGCATTTGTAGTGAATACATTTGATGGAATAGGGTTGGGAAATATTGTTAATATAGTTGAAACATAGTGTTTAGAAGATACAGCCTAAGTAGGTATTGATGGATTTTTAATTAAATTACATTATGCCTCATTTTTCTATCTTAATTGAGGTATAATGACAAATAAAATTATAAGATATTTAAAGTATACCTTGTAATGATTTGATATTATAGGTGCTTGGTGAAAGAATTCCTGCCCATCAAATATGTTACTTTTTTAACATACCTCACATTTTTGCCTTTCTTTTTGGCAAGGATATTTAAGTTCTACTCTCTTGGCAAATTTCAGTTATATAATGTTATACATTGTTATCAATTGTAGTCACAGTGTTATGCACTAGCTCCTCAGACCTTATTCACCTTATACCTGAAGGTTTGTATCCTTTTACCAATCTCTCCCTATTTTCCCCCACCCTCTTAGAGCCACTGGTAACCACTTCTCTATTCTGTGTTTCTGTAAATTCAACTTATTTTTTTAATTCCACATGTAAATGATACTTGTGGTATTAATCTCCGTCTGGCTTATTTCATTTAGCATAATATACTCTATGTTCAGCTAATTTTTGTTTTTGCATTAATTAACCAAATATTTATTGAGCACCTGCTGTATGCCAGTGACTATACTAGGTGCTGCTTGAAAAGTAAAACAGGACAGACCTAACCGGCTTTAGCGCTCACAGAGTTTTTAATGTAGTGGAGGAAAGGGACATCCTATCAATTAGCATGCATTTAACAAGTTATATATTATGTATTAATGAGTCATGCCTAGACAACTAGTCACTTGACCCATCTGACAGATGCTGGGGATGGTGGGGAAGTCTTTAGAATTAGAAAGACACCCTCATAAGCAGTCTTCCCAGGTGGTCCTAGTGGTAAAGAACCCACCTGCCAATGCAGGAGACATAAGAGACGAGGGTTCCATCTCGGTTGGGAAGATCCCCTGGAGGAGGAAATGGCAACCCGCTCCAGTATTCTTGCTAGGAGAATCCCATGGATAGAGGACCTTGCAGGCTGCAATCCATGGGGTCACAAAAAGTCAGACACGACTGACTGTCTGAGCACATCATAAGCAGACCACAGAGGAAACGGAACAGAAATGAAGTATTTTTAAG